GATATAAATTGCCAATTTAGCTGTTACGCGAAAAAATATAAACTTCTAGACATTTTTAGACGTATGAAATGGCATCACACGAAAGAGCTCGAAATTCGCACATAAAGTTACTACCCCGAACCCATAATCGCTTTAAGACATTGTCGCAGTTGCACTTATTTAAAATGTTGCTAATGTAGACGGGCATGCATAGTGTGCTTTGGCTGAAATTTTTCACAGACAGGGATTCTTTTACGACTGGACCAGGAACACACTGATCAGCAGCGAATTTTCGCTAGATCGCTACAATCACTGATAAAGATGACATCGATGCGACTTAATGAGTCCCAAATAACAAGGAAAGCTGTCTAGTCGTTCGGATGGGACGAAAAACCGAGGTCCCGTGTACACATTGGCGTGCACGTAAAAGATCCCTTGACAGTTGGAATTCGATATAAGAGTAGGCCGTAGTGCCGCTGTCCGGGCAAAATTTCCCTCATAGTACAACCCGTAGTGCCGCTGTCCGGGCAAAATTTCCCTAATAGCACACTGTATGGCGCATGCCCGTCTTCATTAGCCCAGTTCGGAGCAAAACAGTTGGACGTTAAACCCCATTTCATTTCATATTATTTCCATTTAGCCCGAATCAGTAACGTCTTATGTAAACAATGCACGCGCTATTGAGCCAATGATTGACGCCGCATGATGTGACGTCACGTGTCGAAACAGTCATCTGTTACAGAGATATTAGAAGATCTCTGTGAAACAGATTGGACAAGGAACCCCGTGCTGCATCACTGACAAGAGGAAGCACCACTGGAAAATCCCGGGGAAATATTTGGGCTAACACTCAATAATCGATTTAGATTATATACTGAGCGTCATGGAAAACGCATCACTTTTTTTTCCCAAATATTTTATTACTAGGTGGTTTTGTATGTATAATATTATGCAATACTATGAACTATTGTTTCACACAATGCTCCCAAACGCAAAAAATATCGGCCCGTGTGCACAAAAAAAAAATTGCACGAAATGCACATGAAAAACCCAATATTCACATGCAGCATGTGCAGTACATGAACTGTGAAACGTCAATCTGTCGTAATTTGTTGTTGGACGTGTGAAGGGATCGAGCTAGAGATGCCGAGACTTACTGAAAATCAACGGAATGAAGACATGGGAATGTCCAAGGCTGGCATGTCTACACGTGCTATTGCCAGACACTTCAATTGTCATCAGTCCACTATTGTAAGTTTGGTGGAAAGTGTTCGAGTTACTGGATTAACACGTGACCGTCGACGTCCTAGTCCACAAAGCGTTACAACCCAGGCTCAAGACCGCTACATCCGCCCAGCGACTCGAACAGGTGCAGCAGTCGTCGGAAGACAACGACCAGTAAGTGCCAACACCGTAAGACGTCGTCTAAGAGAAGTAGGACTCCGTGCACGACGACCTTATGTTAGAGCTATCCTCAAGGATCATCACCGCCAGCGGCGTTTGATATGGGCTCATGGACGCCAGACCTGGAGAAGAGTAGACTGGCAAAGTGTGCTCTTCAGTGATGAGAGTCGCTTTCATCTTTATCACGCTGATGGCCGTCAACGTGTGTGGAGACGTCTTGGGGAACGTCTTGCAGACTGCTGCGTCTTCGAAACGAATCGATGGGGTGGGGGAAGTGTAATGGTGTGGGGAGGCTTCATATTTCATCACCGGACCGCCCTACACATGTGCAGGGGTCGCGTTAATGCTGTAGCTTACCGTGATGATGTCTTGCAAGCAATTGTTGTTCCGATGTTTCGAGCGCACCCACAACTTCAGCACTTCCAACAGGATAATGCACGTCCGCATACCGCCCGTTTTAGTATGGACTACCTGGCTGCTAACAACATCAATGTCTTGGACTGGCCAGCCATGTCTCCGGACATGGCACCGATAGAACATGTCTGGGATGAGATTGGACGCCGTCTGCATCGGAGACCACAGATGCACACCATTGCTGCTTTAGAAGCTGCTCTTGTCCAAGAATGGAACAATTTGCCCCAGGCCTTCTTTCAAACATTGGTAAATTCCATGCGACGTCGCTGCACAGCGTGCGTAAGAGCCCGTGGGGGACACGCGCCTACTGACATCTGTGTCGTACTTTTGGTTTTGACCCCTCTGACTTTGTACCGTTGATTACAGATTAAACATCCATAAGTGTACAAATGTGTTGTTATTGATGTTTCCCATTTGAATATTGTTCACAATAAGAAGCAAAATAAATAAGATATGTTTACAGGATCATTTTGTTATACGAAAAACTAAAGTGACAGTGCGATGGGGATCTTCGGTAATAAAAAATCAATTTGCTGCCAGGGCCCTCACAAGCCTATGTGGCCAGTGGCGTCGTGCCCATTGGGGCCCGGGGGGGGGGGGAAATAAAAATATTTTTATTGATATTATTAAGACAGAAGACCTGTCCGTCTGTTTTAGTCATCACACTGTCTCCAGGAATTGTATAATTTGTCATTATCTGTGTTTAGTTTATTGCACTTTAGTTTAGATGTCATTTGTTAAGGCTTCGCTCAACAGCGGTCTCGCTTCGTACACTCTGTCATTTAGCCTCGATCTAAAATTTCCGGGAGTACGACGCCATTTAAAAATTAATCAATCAATGGAATCCAAGCCATCCGTGGGTCTACAGGGTTGATTTTGTGCTTGTTCTGTAAATAAAGATCTAATTTATAATTTCTATGACATCTGAAGCCTAAATAAAGACTTAAATTAATATACAAAAATAACCCAGTTTTTTCGTCAATCCTCCAGAAATGTAGAAACAATTGGATATGCAGGGGGCAAGGTTGGGGTCAAATACATTTCATTAGCTTTCCAAATACAAATAAAACACAAATTTTTCCGATTACCATTGATCAAATATACAACAAATCTAAATACCTCAGTTAAACACACTCTGAAAAATAGAGTTTGCTGTAGCTAGAAAATCCCTATTTATTATTGTATGTTGTATTTGATAAAATATCCATATACGGGTGTCAAAAATAAAGACTGAAAGTATTTCTTATTAAAATACAAATACATCTAAATACGTATTTGACCATAACCCTGGCAGAGGTTGGGGTGGAGGAAAGAATGGGGTTTTGCATGAAGTTGTTCGAAATGTCCATTCATTAATTAAATCGAAGTTGAGATGAATAAAATAGGCCTATAATTCAATTTTCGAGTGATAATTACAATTATCACTAAAAAAAACCGACCATTTTTCAATCATAACTTTATTGTCTCTAATCCATCGAAATGGCGTTTCCCGGCTTCTAATTTTAAAAAATTTCCGGGGGAGTGCCCCCCGGGCCTCCCTTGCATGCTCATGCCTGCGGCATTCAATGTGGGCGGCAGCGGCTCCGCGGCCATTAAATTTAATTTACCATGAACACACTTGCAGAAAATTGGCCCCCCCCCCCCCGAAATTTTTTTTTGCACGACGCCCCTGTATGTGGCACCCCAAGGTAAAAGTTTCGGTGACGTCCCCACCAAATTGCATAATGTAACTGCTTTGTTCAGTGCCTGCGCTCAATTTATTTTTAATGATTAAAGACATTTTAAAATACAAATTTTTATACTTTTAATACTTTAACTAAATAACTATTTATTAAATCAACTGAAATGTAAAATTTGTATGTTTATTTCCCCGTGAACTCTCCATTTGATCGAGAAACCCTAAAATAAATCTTGCAAAAAGCATAAAACAACCCTCTCTATTTGCTGAAATATGATCTGGGGCCTGTTTCACGAAATTTTAACTAAGATAAAATCCAAATTTTAGTAATTTGATTGGATAATATTAGATTGATTTTAGTGCTTAGCCAATCAAAATTGAAATATCTACTAAAATTTGGATTTTATCTTTAGTTAAGATTTCGAGAAACAGGATCCTGGTTTACACAGGTTTATAGGGGACGCGAAGGCCGGTGATTTGTTATTTAAGCCTCCAAGGAGGCTAGTCCATAAAATTTAAAGGGCCACAATTTGAATATTTCTCGTATGCGCTTAGATAATTTTGCCGTTCCCTCAAGAAGTGTCACCCCTGGGCATATGCCCCTGCCCCCAGTCCCCCTCTATGTGAGGGCCCTGTTGGCTGTTATGTCAAATTAGACTGTGGTTTAAGATTCATTACGAGTCTTGGGTTAGTTCTCTTTCATTACCGGTATAGAATAACATAGGAATACAATAACTGAGCGACATTTCGGCTCGGCTTCTCTATTATTTTATGAAGCTGTTGCCGTCATCTTAAACATATATATATAATTTTTATAAAGATTAACTAAGAAATACTTTGTATAAGCCCATAGCCTACCGTTTTTTGTTATAATTATGAGTTTAAACTAGTGAAGTATGTAGAACATGGGCGGGAGAATGTGGCCCCGTAAGGCCCCTCTCCCATTTTGTACCCCCGCCCCCCCCCCCCCCCCAAAAAAAAAAAAAATTACTGATTGTTAATGGTGCTTTCTAAAGTATATCCTGGTGTTTCTAGCTTGGGCCTACGTACAAATTTAGCGTAAGGCAATCATACCAATCAATCAAAAACATTTAAATTCAATGGGCACCCAAAAAAACAATCTGTTTCACAGAGATCTTTTAACACTGTAGCGGCCTGGCGAAAATTCACTGCTGATCAGTGTGCCAAAGAACAAAAAGACCACCAAAATGTTTGAGAACATTAACTTCTTAAGGGGCCCTTGAGCCTACCATACTCATAGGCTCATATTCTACATCCCTGCTGGAGAAGTATAATATACGTTATGTTTAAAATTTGACGGGGCAAGAGGGCGCATTTAAAAATAATCTTTCTCGGTGGGTGAAATGACGTGGTTTAAGAGGAGTAACTCCATTTATTTTGTGCGATCGAAAAGAGTTACCTCCCATTTCATATTTGAGTAATCATTGTTTGATAACAAAATTATTCCGATATTAATGAATGCTATTGAGTTCACAAATATGTAAGCTATCAGATACAACCAAATAATTGTCTAGTTTACCTAATAAATTACATTTTTATTTATTAATAATATGTGCTAATTATTAATATCAGCGCAGTATTGACTAACTCGTCCCCTTGCAATCCATCATGGCTACGAAAGAAAACACGATCATAGTTGATCTTGAACTAAAAAAGGTAATACATTCTTGCAGGTTCTAAATTATGTTATTTTTTTCTCCAGTAACATTTGAAAACATTTCATTGTACTAATAAACAAACTGTTTATTTGATTTTCTGAAACAATTCACCGGTTGTTGAGATCTCGACTGATGCCGGTGTGGTGGGATTGGATTAGGATTAGCTACGAGAACGTAGCTAAAAACGTTGAGATATACTGATGTGTTTGTTTTTAGCTACGATTGGATGCCTTTTAGTTCCAAGTGGCAAACTCAATTTCTTTATTAATGCATGTAACATCTTTATAATAGATAAGTTTATGATATTATGATTAATTAAACTTACAGAGGCCAATGTAGTGGCACAACTGTCGCCTAACTCCAAATATTCACGTTTAAATTAATGAAGCATTGTTTTTGTCTGACATTTCACCGCCATCGAAATCCATTCATAGTTACTGTGCTTTCGATTGTCCTTTTGATTGGCTGTTATAAAAGCCTTATATTTAGCCCCGCCTTCATGATAACAGCGTATCGTTTAAAAAGATGGCGGTCTTAGTAACGGCTTAACGCCTCAATTTTAATTGTAGTTGGGTGTTGTAGAAATATTATAAATAACAATAATCAATCGTTGTTTTGATTAAAACTATTGTCAATTTTGTTTAAAAATGCCGGGTTTGAATCGCTCCGGCAGCTGCAACGTTATAGGTCATGGCCTCAGTTCTTAACTCGAAACACAGAGGGTTGAGAGATTAAGGTTTGTTATCTAGATTAGGATTATCTACGAGAACATATATAGCTAAAAACGTTGAGATATGCTGATGTGCTTGTTTTTAGCTACGATTGGGTGACTTTAGTTCCAAGTGGTAAACTCAGTTTCTTTAGTAATGCATATAACATCTTAAAAATAAGATAATTTTATACTATTATGACTAATTTATTAAACTTGCAGAGGCCAATGTAGTGGCAAAATTATTGCCCAACTCCAAATATTTGTGATTAAATTATTGAAGCGTTGTTTTTATCCGACATACACCGGCATCGAAGTCCATTCATAGTTACGGTGCTTTAGACATTGCCTTTCTGATTGGCTGTTATAAAAGTCTTATATTTAGCTCCGCCTTCATGATGACAGCTGGTCATGGCGTTCTAAGCAAGGACGTGGATTTGTCATAACTTTTTGGGGGGGGGGGGGGACAGACGAACCCTGGAACCTTTCATTACCAAACGAAATAAATACATGTAATTACGAACAGTTTACTGTACCAGTTATATTTTGATGAAGGCTGTAACTAGGGGTAATATGATGACAATTTGGAAAAATTGACTACCTACATCAAAGCTGCATAAATATTAATTGTTCATGAAGTTAAGTGAATCTTCTACGATCAGTACTGTTCTCTTTGAATATCTTGGCGACATGAAGGGGTTCATTATGCACCACACACGCCATCAAGTGGTTCAGTCGGTTTTGCGTCATGGAGTTGCGCAGCCAAGTTTTGATATAGCGCAGAGTGCTGAAGGATCGCTCGGCTGAGCAGGAACTAGCAGGGTTCAGCAGTGTGAGATGAGAAGAGCTTCGACAGAAGGGAACATCTGCCTCACTTCAGGTGACATAATGAGGAATGCTTCGCACACAAGTGAAATAGAGTTGGCTGAAAACTGGCGCTTGAAGAATGGCAATTATTGTTCCAAGTCACAATTCAGTTCCAGATACATAGAAATCAGCTCACCTTCTTGTGGATATAAACCTGAAAATCTGTCCTGGGGATCAAAATCATGGGGGGGGGGCAGGGACCTATTGGTCCCCCCATTCCGATTCTAAGGGATGTCCCCCCTCAGAATCAGAAGGGGGACTAAATCCATGCCCATAGTTCTTAGTAAAGGCTTAACGCCTCGATTTTAAATACGATGACTTATACCCGTTTCAGGTAATTGTAGTTGGGTTAAACAGAAATATTATAAATAACAATAATCAATCGTTGTTTTGATGAAAAATATTGTCAATTTTGTTTACTGAGGCCCGATGTGATTCACGTTTGGATTTTCTACGTTGAACTATATAGGACCACCTCTTATCTCGAAACACGGGGGGTTGAGAGGTGAGGTTTGTTATCTAGGATTGGATTCCCTCGAGCCCTGGGGTGTAATGACTCCCAATGTAGTCCCAGTCCTAAAGTGAAAGAGACAGAAATACTTGACTAAAATCATTTGGATAATGTATTTGTTATTATTTGATTAAATACAAAATTGTTGTTTTCCATGATATTCGACAGTGTGATTTAGACGACTTTGTCATTGACTCACTTACCGGCAGGTCTGAGAAAGTTCACCTGGATTTTCCAGCATGGTTCCCCCTTGTCAGTGATGCAGGGCAGAGTGCATGGCAAGTGACAATGTTTAGTCATTCGAATGGGACAAAAAACGAGGCCTGTTGCAATTCGGAATAAGAGTAGACTGTAGCTCTGCAGTGTTTTTTTTTTTTTTTTTCAAGATCAAACATAATACTATAGGAGCTTTTCTGGATTTGCCTTTTGATTGACAGTACCTTTGTTCTGTTACCTTGTTGTAATGGAACTGCAGCTGACAACTATTTCCTATTCTATTTATGTTTATGTGATTTACTGACCAATGCCAGAAGTGATAGTTACATTTATGAGATTATTATTTTTTCTTTATTTTTTAGGGGCTAATCTGTGGTTAAAATTCACCGATATTGTCTTACATTAAACCACAGGTCACCTCTCGAATCCACTCTATTATTTACCCTAATACTCTGGTCCCTCACGTTTTACAACCAAACAGATGTCATGTATTAATTGTTTGCAGGACAATGAATGCAAAAGATATCAATACTTTATCCTATTTTAAATTCTAGTGCGGCATGCTGCGTTCTCTGCTGTACAATATACAGTGAGCTATATAGGACACAGATCACCAAATATTCCTACGCCGTCACCCACGAAACAAGGGCCAAAGCTATTTTTAGTCTTCCTCTCCCTTTTCCTTTTTCCCCCTTTTGCATGGCGATTTTTGTTGACTTTTTGGTGTAGAATTGAGGAAAAGGGTTTGAAAATACATTTTCTGCCAGGTTTTGGTGAATATTCATAATTTTGATGCGGAAGGATACAAGAGTTGAGAGGTTGGTTACGTAGAAATGTAGGGCCTGAAATTGCATGTTTACTTGTCTCTACTTCCAGCTTGTGTATCTCAAGTTTTTCATGAAGAACCTCATACGTGCTTTTGGGCAAGTGGTTGCCACATGTTGCTCCATCTGTGGTAGAAAGCGTTCTACCCAACGAAAATTTGGGGAAAAGTTAGAGCCGGTCTAAGATACGAGAATTAACATTGGAGTCAATGGGAAATCTTTAGTGATCTGTGTCCTGTCTGTGTGTGATAAGGCTGTCACTGATATGCCTTAGTTTTGAAAATATGAAGATTAAATTCTCAGAAAATATGAATAAAATAGTTTGGCTACAGAAAAACTAAAAAAAGTTAATTAAAAAAAAAAAATCAAAGTTTTGAAGAAAAATTGTGATTTTACTGCAAATTTCTCAATTTTCAATTTTTATTGAATTTTTAACAGTAAGTAAAATATTCTAATGCCCAATGTTGGCTTATTCAGTCTCAGAAAGCACAGATAAAATGAACAGTATTGAAATTTCACCAAATTTTGTCTAAAAATCAGGAATATTTACAAAAAATCTTGAGATTCCCCCCATTTGGATGTAGAAATTAATATTTTCATGACTACTAAAATGAGTCAAAATGTCTAAAAATGCCCATATTTTCTTTGCTAATATAACTTAGATGGGATCTACATGTTTGTCAGGTTTAGAAATAGCTCCAGCTTTCCTACAGAAAATTGAAAATTGGTAACACTGAGTTAATAATGTACAGCAGATGGGTTTGTACAAAATGTTCAAAACAGGGGTTGGCTCAATTTTGCCACTATTTTACCCAGAATAAGCATTTTTTTCTTCTTTGAAACATTAAATTCTTGCATTTCCTTCATGTAGGAAGCAATATCCCAGCCTTTCTAGACATTTTTTACTCCATCATTCTGTTTAGAGAGGCAATAAATGCCCCACCCCACCCTTTTCTATTAATGTGTTTTGAGGGATTTAAATGCACCTGTGTTGACATGTAAATGATCTTAATTGGAATTTGTGGTTGAATTACAGCTAAGAATGTTATTTTTCACCCAAAAATATTTTTTTTGTGCATTTCAAGGATTTCTAACCCTTATTTGTTCAGAGTCAAACGTAGAACCCTGAGGCATTTCAGGCCAATGAGACCAGACCCAGATATAAAACTGGTGTAGATGTGTAAATGTCAGTTTAATGTTCAATATTTTCTTATCAAAATCCAGCATTTGTGGTGTTTGCTGCATTTATGTTGCCTATAAAACAATAAAATGTTAATTTTTCTCCTTTTCAGGCCTCTTTTTATGTTGTCAAGTCTGTCATGACTACTTTTTTGACTTCATTTTTTCAGGAAATTAATGTAAAGTTCCAGACATCTTGCTTCAGCACAAGGATTGCAATACAAATTTGTAACATGCCTCTGAGGTTTGAGATGTTGGAAACATTGAAATATTCCCAAATTTGTGAAAATTGTGTATTCTGTGACCCTTCTGTTAGAGAGGGGTGATCATAGACCAAATATGGCATTTTTTTCATTCATCAAGGCCTATTTTTAACCATAATTCATATTTATTGCACCTATTTTAGTTTATATGTGCATATGTTAGCCAGGGATGGTAAAACATAGCTATTAGACAGATTCCTTTGGTAATGTAAGTTCTGCAACCATAGATTAGATTAATTCAATCAGTGGCATGTTCAGGGGGTAGGCATACATGTTTCAGTATAGATCTCTAATATTACAATCATTGCAACTGGTTTGCATTTTTTCTGTTTGCATATTGTCCACAGATTCTAAAAATATATTTCTTGTCCGTCCGGATATTTAAAAAAGTGGAAAATTATTGGTATTTTGAGAGATGCTACATGTAAATTTTGTACATTTTTCATCACATGGCAGTAAAAAATTATATTTTTGAAAAAAATTCCAAATTATGAGTGTTTTGTATGTAGTTTCTTTGTTACTTGTCTAATTTTTTCACAGAACTCAGATACTGCCTTTAATAAGAAAGATTTTTAAATTTTAGCACAAAAGGCCTATGGACCTGAGATGCACCAGTGTACATAAAGCAGCATGTGTACTTAAAGGGCCATCATTTTTACAGTTATTCTTTGATTTTGATTTTCTTTCACCGGCATGTTGCCAGAACACATGGGAAGGAAATAAAAAAGGCCTTTTGGTGATCCCTGAAGTTTCACCCCTATATAGGACACAGATCACCAAATATTCCTACGCCGTCACCCACGAAACAAGGGCCAAAGCTATTTTTAGTCTTCCTCTCCCTTTTCCTTTTTCCCCCTTTTGCATGGCGATTTTTGTTGACTTTTTGGTGTAGAATTGAGGAAAAGAGTTCGAAAATACATTTTCTGCCAGGTTTTGGTGAATATTCATAATTTTGATGCGGAAGGATACAAGAGTTGAGAGGTTGGTTACGTAGAAATGTAGGGCCTGAAATTGCATGTTTACTTGTCTCTACTTCCAGCTTGTGTATCTCAAGTTTTTCATGAAGAACCTCATACGTGCTTTTGGGCAAGTGGTTGCCACATGTTGCTCCATCTGTGGTAGAAAGCGTTCTACCCAACGAAAATTTGGGGAAAAGTTAGAGCCGGTCTAAGATACGAGAATTAACATTGGAGTCAATGGGAAATCTTTAGTGATCTGTGTCCATATAAACGGTACTACATGTTGGTCGATGGGGTTATCACTATCAGTCTAAAAATAATTCTAGTGCCCCATGCTACATTCCCTGCTGTACAAACTACAGTGAGCTATAAATGGTACTACATAATTATGTGTTGGTCATTGAGGTTATCACTATTGGTCTAAAAATAATTGCATAAATAAGTATGGAGTTTAATCAGGGAACTAGAAATATTGGGGTAATTTATCTGATCACCGTAACTTTGTAACTTGCTAAAAAATAATAATAAATAATACCGGTAATTGTATTTAGAATCCGGTTGATGAACTATATATATATATTTATCAGCAATACGTCATGTCTAATTGATGATACATGTACTGTGAATGAAATCTGTATAAAACTTGGTTAAAATCATCTAAACCTAATTCACTGTGGATCCAAATTAGAACAATAAAAGTATTATTTTACAAATGATCTGAAGTCAGTAAAGTATTAAAAACTATATATGCACCTTACAGTAAAAGTAGCATTCAACAATATGATTTCTACAAAGAGTAAAATACATATTTTCCATAAATTAGCATTTACATAGAAGGCCAGTCTTCTACTGCACATATTGGTAGATCATGAATAAGTACATGAATTTAATACCATACATAAAACAACACTTTAAATCGAGATAATAGTGCAAATCATCATGTGCGACAATTGAAGTTTGTTCATTTCAGACAAATGAATAAACAGGGGAACTTTACTGTCCAATTTTATTTGATTGTTTTATTTTGTTTGTGTGAATACTAGTGTAATGTTATTTGTAAGAAGAAAATATATATCTATATCTTTCAGGCCTTTCAAGAACTTCAGAATAAGATGATTACAACAACACAACAGTTAAAAGTCTCTGATGCTCAAATAGAAACCTTGAAACGTCAAATAACTCACTCTAAATTAGTCACCAAAGAAATAGCAGCCCTGCCATCAGAAACAAGAGTTTTTCAAGGAGTTGGTAGAATGTAAGTTTCATGGCATGGTAAACCTATAAATGAGATTTAACGTCCAATGAAGATAGGCATACATAGTGTAATATAAGGGAAATTTCGCCTACGCTTATTTAAATTTTGAACTATCAACTATGTATTGGTTATGATATACATGTGATCTTGATTTTCCATCCCATCCTAACAACTCCATCCTGCACCACTAACAATGGGGATACCCGGCTAGAAAACCTTAAGGATCTGTATCAGGGTCTCATGATTAGTAGGGCAGCACCATACTCATCTAGCAATAATGGCACCCAGGTGAATATATAAACAAACGGTCTACTTCGTGGATGAATCTCAATGGACCTTTATGACGTATTCTTTAAAATTTCTATGGTTATTATTCTATTTATTAACAGTTTTTATATGCCCACATTGAAATGTTTTTGTATATTGTCGTCGCCTCCGTCCATCTAGAGGCTAAAGTTAATATCCAATTGACTTTTAATTATGAGATGAAGAAGTATACTGATTTCCGATTATGAGATGAAGAAGTATACTGATTTCCGATAATGTGGATGCCTTAGAGGCTAAAGTTAATAACTGATTGACCTTAAATTTATACACAGTGTTTAACTTCATAAGACGAAGAAGCCTATTGATTTTCATTGATTTCCGATAGTTACTGCCAGAGTTATGGCCCTGGTCACTTTGAAAATGATATTGAATGTTTTGTATACTGAACATTAGCATGGGCCAAACAATTTTTAATGGTTTTCTGATAATTACTTCATGAGTTGTTACTGTTAATCAGATTTTAATGTATTGTAAATGTTTCATTACCGACTAAAGTAAAAATATGCGACAACTCTTGTTGTATACCCAGACGATTTAGCTGCTGTGGGCCTGGCAACCTATCTTTGAAATTGAGGTAATAGAGTACACAAATTTTCTTCAGGTTTTTATTGCAACCAATACCAACAATACAGAAAAATTTAGATGCTAAAATGAAAGCCTCTGAAGAAAAAATCAAAACAATTGATGTAAGTTTTCGGTAATATAATCTCTTAAAGATACCTTCCCGCATAAAAACTGGGTGGGTTGATGATATATTTGGACTAAAACATATTTAAACTAATTTATCTATCAAACATTTGCTTCAAATCCCTCTCAAAACATTGTATTCGTGAGAAAACACCAAAAGATATAAAATATCTATTTTTAGAAGCCATGTTTGTCATGTAACTTGATTGAGGGAGGGAGCATTTTTAGAATGTATTTGTCATTACTTACTGTCCATTTGCCATACATACTGAAGCCTAAGTAAATTCTTGGATTATATTCTGCCCTCTTCTTTTTCCAGTGTTTAATTGCAGAGTCTGTTGTATGTTTAAACCCCTCAATATTCCCAAAACCACCTAATTATTCGATCAAGAAATAACAACCACTCCATAAGTCAAGGTGGCAGACAATGAGCCGTCGGGTTGCTATTTTTGCCCAGTGCTCGTCTCATGGGTGTTTTTCAGGCAAACCAGTATTTTTCTAGTAAGATTGGAGGTCCCTACTTTCCATTTCTACCAAATTTATTGGAAATAACTACACTATAAATACTTTTGTGATAATGTATCTTTAAATCTTTATGATGATGTATAATACCATTAGTAATATCTTTATCTGGCTCCCCAACAATAAGAATTATAAGTTCTCAATGTTCTGTTTATAATTTCAGACAAATAAAGGTTATTTAGAAAGAAGTATCAAGGAAAGTGAGGATAGTTTACGAGAATTAGTGTTATCAAAGAAAGGGAGATAACTTCTTGGCGACTGTTATCAAAGACTTGTAACTTATATCCTCATATTTTGTTATCATGCCTTATGTTTTCACTGTAGATGCTGCATCATAAAAACAATAAAAAGATGACCTGGCTTACCTTTAAAAAAATTAATATAAGCTTATATATATATATATGTGTGAAAACCATAAGGGCCTATGATAAGCCTTTGCTTGTCCAAAATTAATATGGTTTGCATTATATTGTACAGAAATAGACATGTTTTGGATTTTTACCAATCAAGATTAAAATTAATACAGCTTATTTAATAAAGGTCAAATCTTGAAGTTGAGTTTATTTGTTTTTTAAATATGTTGTATTCAGTAGGAATTGTTTTGGTCAAGGGATTTTGGTTAACACAAATTGAATAAGAACCCACATACATTAATAGTATATACAATAAAGGGGAATTACATGTATGTAAGATTAGATAAAGAGTTGACAGTTTAAAAATAGATAATGAAAAGAGAATATGTTAAAAAATTACAGTCAAATTACTTTAGTCTGGGCCGAGTTATCATTGTTAGAAGAAAAATGTAGCCACAATTATCATTGTTGCCATTGTTAAGATAATAAACAAAGTCTTGATTATCCATATATAAATTAAATCATTAAATGGCCAAACCGTTCTAATCTATTTAAAATCAAAGCTATCCAATTGATTATGATTGTGGTCTTGTCTAATTAATAACTTGTATAACATTTAAGGTCTAAAGAAAGATCTACAATAGGCAGATTTAGCTCTTGCATAATGTATGTTTAATAATAAATCCTGATAGCAAGCTACCATTGTGTCAGCAGGGTTATTTCTAGATGATTTATTTGTCTGAAATATCTGGGTATGCACAATTCCATAATGTGCTAAGGAGAAATATTTTCATAATTATTTTCTTGTGCTAGGTTAGATGTGAGTGTATAACTATAAATGTTGTAATGCCAGTTATTGCTAAAACTTTTGTAGCATTAGTGAAAGATGTACAGAAACTATAATCTACATAATCATACAAACTTATTAGCATGCCCAATTTACAATACAAAAACATGCCCAATTTACAATACAATAACATGCCCAATTTACAATACAAAAACATGCCCAATTTACAATACAATTACATGATGCCCAATTTACAATGGAATGTGTTATACTGTCATAAAAACCTATGTTGAATATTTTCCCCGTTTAATCTTCAATGTGTCATTAAGCACATCTCCCAAGGTCTAGTTCGAACATTTGAAACATTTTCCTGTATTCGCGACCAACCCCGACTCGACCAACCCCAAATGCCGCCTGTTAATGGCACCGTCTGAAGGATCGCGATAGATACCCTCAACCCACCCACCCACATTTTTACTTTTTTGTCATAATAACTGTGTAAAAACCAGGGACTCCAAGACAAACGTCATTCTCTGTAATTAGTCTGAAGAAGAAATTGGTCCTAGTCTAAATTTTATTGCCGGATTGTGAAGCCTCCTGGCAAATAAAAATATTTAAAAAATAAATGTAGATGTATTACATTTATCATTCATTTCAATTTGATTTAATTTGAAAAAATTCTGAAGTAAGCAATGTTTCCATACATGACGTGCGTCATCGTTTTCTGATTCTCTGACCGTTGCTGCCAGCTGAACGTCAAACAGAATCATTGGTCCATGAGAGTTTAGCACCTTCAATCAAGCAAGAAAAATCGTTAACTTTGATCTCGGCTCCCATTACAAGAGAGGAGATATAAACTCTAAGTGTTAAATGTGCAGAACGAAAAATAACATTATTATGTGTCGCACCTGTATCATGCTTATTTCTCTGCTGTCAATCAAAAGTCTGGTAGAATGGAAGTAAGTTGAGAGAAACAATGGTGTAGACATCTAGTATTCTAGCATCTTACACGATGTTATACATCTCCTGATCATGTTATACACCTTACAGCTGTAAGTGATACGCTGTGTATATTTAACGATAGATCGTTTTACAAAACCCTCTTCTCTTTTATATTTCTCTTATAAACGCTAAGAACGATAATGGTTTCTTGAAAAGGATCTATTGGTTAGTAAATAAAATGGAGTTAAGCGTTCTACTATTCCAGGCGGACAGGGCTAATAAAGGGCATGCGACATCGTTTCCACCTACAATTCAACCAACTCCAATTATCAGGGGTTCTTTTTTGTGCTTGTCATAGAGTGCACCGGTGGTCCTCGATTTTCGTTTCATCCAAAAGACAGATCATTTTCCAGAACTTTCTTGTGCAACACCGAGAAATTTCGTTGGAATTTCAAAACAATAATAATAAATATCGTATTAGAATCAAAATGGTTGGAACCTATTCTTTCCGTTACTTATAAACAAAAAGGAACCACGGTGGCTCGGTAGATATGGCGCTGTCTCAGTAACCGGTATTGACCAAGAAAGTTTCTCAGAGGCACTGGCAATGAACAATGTCTAGTCATTCGAACGGCACAAAAAACCGAGGTCCAGTGGACATGTTGGCTTGCATGTACAAGACACATGGCCTGTTTTAACGTTCCTCTGGATAACAAATCTGTGCTTTGAAAATCTGAAATCCGTGCTTTGAAAAAATGTTATGTAGCCTTGTGAATCTGAGAAGATTGTATGGGGAAACTGAGCTATCTTTATGATCATCGACCACTTTCGATTTCTGTTTCAAAAGTTTTGTATTGTTGACGTTCATGTATTCCCACCACCACATCGTCAGGTGCAGGTGACAGTGAAGGTTCGTTTGTCTTTGGATCGACTTCGGATGTTTACTTTGACTGCTAATGATACTGAAACGTAGTTATAGATTTAAATATATTAATCCTGTTATATTTTGGTTATAAAAGTGTAAGCGTGATATCGCCCATAAAACCATAAAATCGGCATTGGCAAGACTCCTTCATTTCAATGACAGCTTAAATCTGATTTCAAAGAAAATGGAAAATTGATAAAGAAGCAGTTGTATGTAGCGTGAACTACCAAAAATGAAACCGTAAAAAAATGAAATATCTGAATTTACTTAGATTTAAGAATTTTCCAAATTTCCAATCCAATTTTAAATATGTAGTCGACAAACTGACTAGCTTCAAGGATTGTTTTGATTTGTGGAAGGAAATTAGTGTGATTTAAAGAGATCTAGACTTAAACCACCGTATATAATACACCCATTAGTAGGAGGAAGAAGGAAGCATGGTTGATAAATTCGAGCCAATAATGATAGAAGTGATAAAACATCAATTTAAAATGTTAACAACTAAATGTTTTAAAAAGCGCAATATGTACTTCCATGTAAATACGTTAACGTTTCCACTCTTGGTAGAAAAAACAAACTCGACTTGGATTTGTCAAAACAAATTCGGTTCAGTGTAGCGGAATCTAAATCAATGAACACGCTAGACTTGATGTGAAATACAGGCTGTATACTAAGCGATAATATTTATAGTCGCGGCAATTAGACGGCCTTTCGTTCACTTTCTTAAGCATTAGAAGACAGAAGAAAACATAACAACGCTTATTTTAACACGTGTCTATAGGAACATAAACAAAACACGCTGAGTACAGAAATATAGAAGTTTGAGAAAAAAAAACCCTCAAAACGTATATCTACATATAAAAGTAAATCTGTTAAGTTAATGGGGTTTTCATTTTAATTTTGACAGGTTTACAAGTTAAAATCCATGTCAATGTACATGTTTCATGAACAAATGTATAATAATCTTGTTAAAGTTATCGTCTAGATTCTCATGAAAGGTAGTCTCGGTGGCTCAGGGAGTAAGACGCCAACCATTAGATCCCGGATTCGATCCTAGTGTTGGCCGAGAATGTTCCTCGGGATTTTCCACTCTGGGTTTTTGGTGTAAGAAAAGTGGCAAGGAACAGCCACTTAGTGGTTCGTGTGGGACAAAAACTGAAGTGTGCAAGGTAAGGAACCACAGCTCTTGGAATTCAAAAGTAGGCGGAAACGCCGCTGTCGGGGCAAAATTTCCACCACAGCACACCGCATTAGGGTATCCCCGTCTTCATTTTCCACTATAGGTGCAGAACATTATAATGTTAAACCCCATTTCAATTCATTCCTGTAATGAAACGAATTGTGAATCTCTTTTCGACAGTGGTGGTCAAAAGTGATTGGTTTTCATAACAAGAGATTACCACGCCTCTTCAGCCCAAGTCCAACTGTTAGATGAGTTTTTCTTATCGCATGATAAACAAATAGGTGCAAATATCTGATGGACCTGTGCCCGGCGCCATAATTCACTTTTCAATGAGAACTTATATTATTATTCTAAATTTATAATTAGAATTCTGATATAAATGGAATAAGATATTTTAATTATTAAAGATTTGAAATTACAAAAAGCTAAAAGGGTATGTGTGAAAGGCTGTAGCAATAATACTATTGACGCTTAAGTTTTTAGGTGATGAACGAATATGGCTTGTAATGGCTGCACATCAGTTTCTTTAGATTTTTAACCTAGTTTCTCTCCTAGCAGTACCGAAGGACGTCTCGTTATTCGGATGGTACGAAAAAACGAAGCCCATCCGTATTCTCGTTGGTGCGGAATTTGATATTGAGTTTAAGAGAAAATGCCACTGTTCGGGCAAAACACCTCTAAGATCTTCCTTGGCCCAGTCGGTGCAGAAAGGTATAGATGGCTAAACCCCGTTTCATTAAAAAAAATAGCCAAGAGCGGCTCAGTGCAAACCGAATACTCAGGAAATAAATATCATGACTTGAATTCTATCCATGTCCCCCACTGGTAGCTTCCCTTTTCACTGCAGGAGAGGATTACAGATTAGCTAGATAGCAGAGAAAATGGCCACCCCGCTATCTAACCCATTCTGATGGCCCTTCAACGTGTCTTCTAACCCGACTCGAACAAGCAAACAATGGAGGGAGTTCTGTGGCAATGATAATAAACTTTTGTATATATCTCGCTACAATTTCGACTTTCTTAGCCATAGGTAGGAAATAATATATTATGATTTATATAAGATGGGGTGTCACCGGGTTCATCTGAAATGCTAGATGTTATTTTGACGTTGGTCCAGCGGCGAAAGTAAATTTCGTTTCCACTCGAACCTCACTTAAGTGCATTTCGTTATCTGCTTTAAAAAATAAATTTATGTATGATAGCGTGTAATTAAACTAGATGGATGCTTAGCCAGAATACACAACTTCTACCTCTTCTGTTTAGTATTAACTATTCAAATAGTATTAACAGTTACACCACCAAATAGAAAGAAATGAAATAAAATAGGATTTAACGTGACTTTTCTGCATCGGTCGGGCTAATA